AATAAGCACAAGTATATTGGCCAGATAATTGACAGAACAGTCTCTGGAAAGCCATATTTGAAGCATAAGGAGGACATATCAGACAAAACACCTGAGAATCTACTTGCTTCAAATCCAAATGATTTGTTAATTTTAGACATGGTGGCTGACCATCTTACATGTCCATTCACACAAGAAGTTACAAATGATTTCAGAATACTGCCATGTAAACACAAGATCAGTCATTTGGCATTGGAGACATTCATGAAATTGAACTATCAAGAATTGAAATGCTTTTATTGTAAGAAAAAAACGCAAATGTTTGATACTGAGAAATTACCAAGTTCTCCAATTTACAAAGCCTTGTATGAAAGATTTGTTGCAACTGGCTATATAAAAACACCAAACAAAGCTACAAACTTTGCTGTTGCTGCAGAAGATCTAAATGATGACATTGAAGAATCTTCAATTAAAAGGTCAAAATTTTTAAATTTGCTGAAAATGAAACCAAAGAAAAGTCTTACACAGATATTAAGGAGACCAAAAAACCTGCATCTCACATACAGTCAGGGCAAGAAAGCTCTCAATGATAAGAGATTTAAAGATGCGATCATGTGGTTAGAAAAATCACTCAAACATTACCCTAATAGTTCAACCATCCAATGTGAGCTTGCTATTGCACATATTGAAAGTTCAAACTATAATAATAATAAGGAATGTTATGAATATCTAACACAAGCTATTAAAAACAGTCCCCAAAATGCAGATGCTTGGGCATGGTGTGGAAAATATCATATGTTGCAATCTGAATATAGACAGTCACTTGGAGATCTAGCACAATCATTAACAATTAAACCAGATAATGCATTTGCATTAGGGGTGAGGGGACATGTCTATTGCATGCTTAATAAGTATGATCATGCATTATATGATCTTAACAAATCTTTGAATGTTGAACCAGATAATGCACTTGCATTAAGAGTGAGGGGACAAGTCTATTACCTGCTTACCAAGTATGAGGATGCTTTGGTTTCGTGTCCTTTATTAGGCGCAACTAAGGTGGACCTCTAAAGCTGCTTGTATGAGGATGCTTTGGTTGATCTTAACAAATTTTTGAATGCTGAACCAAATAATGCCAATGCATTAGGAATGAGGGGACAGGTTTATTATAAGCTCAATAATTATGAAGATGCATTAATTGATCTTGACAAATTTTTGAATGTTGAACCAGATGATGTAAATGCATTAAGAGTGAGGGGACATGTATATTACCTGCTGAAGAAGTATGAGGATGCATTGGCTGATCTCAACAAATATTTGGATGCTGAACCAAATAATGCAAATGCATTAGGAATGAGGGGACAGGTTTATTACAAGCTCAATAGTTATGATGGTGCATTAATTGATCTTAACAAATTTTTGAATATTGAACCAGATAATGTAGATGCATTAAGAATGAGAGGACAAGTCTATTACATGCTTACCAAGTATGAGGATGCATTGCTTGATCTTAACAAATCTTTGAATGCTGAACCAAATAATGCCAATGCATTAGGAATGAGGGGACAGGTTTATTACAAGCTTAATAGTTATGATGATGCATTAAATGATCTTAACAAATCTTTGAATGTTGAACCAGATAATACATTTGCATTAGGAGTGAGGGGACAAGTCTATTACATGCTTAACAAGTATGAGCATGCATTGGCTGATCTCAACAAATATTTGGATGCTGAACCAAATGATGCAAATGCATTAGATGCAAGGGGGACTATTTATCTGAATCTTTGCCATTATGAGGAAGCATTAAAGGATTTTACTAGATTATCAACCCAACCAAATGATGCAGCTAAACTGGAAAAAAGAGGAACTGCCTATTTGAATTTAGGCCAGTATGAAAATGCATTACAAGATTTCAATAAGTTATTGGTGCTTAGACCAAATGATGTAGTTGTCTTGAGTAAAAGAGGATGTGCTCTTATTATGCTTAAACAGTATAACAATGCATTTGAAAATTTTGACACTCATTGGATATTGAACCAAATATAGCCAAGGTTTATCAGAATGAAAATGAATTAAACAATCTTAATATTGTATTGGAGATTCAGCCAAGGAATATAGAAACCCTGATAGTGAGAATGCAAATGCATTACATATATGGTCAGCATGAAAATGCACTAACTGAGCTTAACACAATATTAGAAATTCAACCAGACAACTTTTATGCATTGACTCTAAGAGGAATTATTTATCTTGATCTTCTTTCATATGAAAATGCATTTGATGATATTAGTAAATTGTTTAACCAAAATGCATATAAAAAATTAAGACTGTTATTTGATCAATTAATATCAAAAACACAAAGTACATGTAATCAGAATTTTTGCAGTATGTTAGTATTAGACTTTGATAACTGTCAAGTAAAAGACACAAACATGAAAGTCTTGGCTGAAATATTAAGACTAAATATAAACCCCTCGACTTCTTTGAATCTCCAGTTCAATCAAATTGGAGCTACAGGAGCAGCAGCTTTGGCAAAGGTTTTAGAATCAAACTCCTCCCTGACTTCTTTGGATCTCCAATATAATCAAGTTGGAGCTGCAGGAGCAACAGCTTTGGTAAAGGCTTTAGAATCAAACTCCTCCCTGACTTCTTTGGATCTCTGCTCTAATCAAGTTGGAGATACAGGAGCAACAGCTTTGGCAAAGGCTTTAAAATCAAACTCCTCCCTGAATTTTTTGGATCTTGCATGTAATCAAGTTGGAGATACAGGAGCAACAGCTCTGGCAAAGGCTTTAAAATCAAACTCCTCCCTGAATTTATTGGATCTTGCATGTAATCAAGTTGGAGATACAGGAGCAACAGCTTTGGCAAAGGCTCTAGAATCAAATTTCTCTCTGGCTTTTTTGAATCTTTCTCATAATGAAATTGGAGATACAGGAGCAACAGCTTTGGCAAAAGCTTTAAAATCAAACTCATCCCTGACTTCTTTGAATCTCCGGTCTAATCAAGTTGGAGCTACAGGAGCAACAGCTTTGGCAAAGGCTCTAGAATCAAATTCTCTCTGACTTTTTTGAATCTCTGGTTTAATCAAGTCGGAGATATGGGAGCAACAGCTTTGGCAAAAGCTTTAGAATTAAATTCATCTCTGACTTCTTTAGATCTTTCTTATAATAAAATTGGAGCTACAGGAGCAACAGCTTTGGCAAAGGCTTTAGAATCAAACTCCTCCCTGACTTCATGTGTAATCAAATTGGAGATACAGGAGCAACAGCTTTGGCAAAGGCTTTAAAATCAAACTCCTCCCTGACTTCTTTGGATCTCCAATCTAATCAAGTTGGAGATACAGGAGCAACAGCTTTGGCAAAGGCTCTAGAATCAAATTTCTCCCTGACTTCTTTAAATCTCCAGTTTAATCAAGTTAGAGGTACAGGAGCAACAGCTTTGGCAAAGACTTTAGGTATTAGAATCAAATTCTTTTGAAAATGTTGTGTCAAGGGCATAGCCACTCCACTCCAAAGTGGAGTTATGGCACCTGCTTTCCTAATTTAAACAGGACAATGTTTTGATTTGAGGTTTTGACTAGCAATAGGTGTCACTTTATTTAAATCAATTAAACAGATTTAAACAAAACATTATTGTTGTCAAAATAATATTCAATTACTATATGCTTTCCATTATTTCACATGCTAGCTATGCAGACAAACTTTCACTGGTCTTATGCTCTGTTGCTCAGTCTTATCACTTTAAATAAAAGTGCAATTATTTTCAGCATCAGCCACGACATAAAATATTTCAACAATCAGTGATGAAAAAATAATGTAATGAAAAATAAATTTGTTTATTTATTTCTTGGATAAAATTATGTCCATGGGAATATATGATTAATTTTAACAACACAACATAATAATAACATGCAACATATCAACATTAACATTCAAGCATGAGAGCTATGGAATAATAGCTGCTAATATATCTTTCTTAATCACCATACTCCCTTATAATAAAATTTCCAATTAACTATCATTCCACTAACACCAAAATTCAGTATTATGGTAAAATTGCCTAATTAAATTTCATGCGGTCACCGATTAATTACCTGACTTGCTGCGGCTGCTTCAGCACGGTTTGCCATAATGAATTAGTAACAAATAAATGTCTGTATTTATGTAACACATAGCAATCCATAAATTACAGTCAACCTGTCCTGTCTATTACTATTAGCAAGTCATACATGACTTGCATTTACAGGGAGTGAAATATTCAATCATCTATAAGCTTGGGACAAAACTAGAGATTTAAACTTGCATTTAGAGAAAAAAATATATCACTGCTTGCAGTACAAGGGTTTGCATTAGGGTGACTGTATTGTTATAAATAACTTTAAAGTATATTATTATACCATATTGATCACAAAACAAATGTTTACACTTGCAGATTTTGAATGGTATGCTTATGAGCATTATAACTTCACGTTATATCTAAATTCTGCAATTGTATGTAAATTAACTGCCCACAGTAAAAATTGCATTAACGTTAATAGTAAGATTACTTTATTCAAAACTAAACAACATGATACTCATAAAGCTCAAACGTTTTAATTACACTTTTTACTTTTTGAATGCAACTTTCACTAATGCATTCTTCTTTAAACCCGACCTTTAAAATCTCAAGAGTACTGTAAAGATACTCAATTATTAAATTAAGACATTCTTCTGTAACGCCAACACGGTTATTAATAACCAATGACCTAAGTGGTGGGTTCGATTTAGACAAAAACCTCTCTAAAAAATTTGTTTGAAAACTATCCACGCTTTTCAATTCCAAATGGTATAAATTGGGAAGCCAGTATTTAGACAACCCACTGAAAAGTAGGTCAATTGCCTGTTCATACCAAAACCCACTATTTGTTAACACGACTGAGTGCAATTTAGGTAAATTGGCAATTATTCTAGCAATCGAAAACACAGTTTCTGCGTTGATGGATACTGACAATGATGTTAGGTTATGGCATGATTCTATTATGGCCTTGCTACAAGTATTGGAAATTCTTTGCCCTGTGAGTAGTAAAGTAGTCAGAGAACCACCATGTCTATAAATAAATTTTGTCAATTCCTGAACCTTTGAATCATGCGTCTTGCAAACAAACTCCCTCAGATTTGGAAAATCGGCTGCCAACAGTGGCTCCCAGCTGCTACTTGAAATATGAGTACACGTGTCTATCTTGATACACTTTAATTTGGGGAACCGAACCGATTCAGTTTCTTGATTTTGTCTCAGTACCACTCCGCTAAATGTGATGGATTCGAGAGAGTTGGCACAAACTTGCAACAAATCCAATATCGCATGCATTTCCAAGTCACCATGCTTGACTGTAAAAGACTTGAGCCTGTGTTGAGATCGTACCAGCAGCGCGATATTCTCCGATATGAACTCTACGTTTTGATGGCAATGATTTATTGTTACGGATTCCAAATTTTGTGCTATTGTTGCAAGCTGACAAAGGGCGTCTGTTTCTGACATTGAGGAGCCCCAGGAAAAGTGCCGAAGCCGCGGTAAACTCTTTATAGAAGCAAAGCAGCTTTGCAAATAATTGTGAGTAGACAGTTCTCTCGGTTCAAGAGAAAGAAATTGCAACTCGGTACAATATTGAACGGCCATAGCAATAATCTTGGCAGTGATGCATTCCACTCTAGAGTCCTTGTCAGCGTGTATTGAATTTACGGCCGTGTCTAGTCTGGACAGGCTCCAGACCACCGAGCAAACATCGGTCCAGTTCAACTCTTTGACATACTCGCTATAATCCAATGGCGATTTCTTGTTTGATTCTTTATTGTGCAAGCACATTTTCTCGAAAACGGCATCAAAGGTGGTAATGCATTCGACAAACGATTGCAAGAGATTTGCTGCTCGCTTAGATCTATCTGATTTCTTGTACGATCGAGCGTTCTTGCACATTAAATTAAAAGGCTTGGCCCAGAGATACTGAATGGCTATCGCAAACCAATTTTTGTTGATTAGAATGCATGAATGGAGTGTTGCGCCATCGTCTGCATACACGTCCAGAACCGCCCTGAGAACCTCGTACGGTAACGTGACAGTCATTATAAACAGGTTTATTGATAGAGAAACTTTTGTCGTTTTGCAAAACGCAGGGGGGGGGGGGGGGAAGGTGCACGTTGCCAAGGTATGCCGAGAGTTTTTTTAATGAATGGCAAGTTTCTTTATTGTAAGTATATATAGTTATTAATGCTGCGGGGTGTCGGAGAATAACTGCTATACAAAAATAGTGCAAACTATTATTATCAGATGACTCAAGCGTGTGATATCAAATAGAAACCAAACACACAATACTTTTAATTGTTAATTAGCGTTGGGGTCGAAAACAAGGTCTACTATAAAGCAGATTGCGATAATTCTTGGCGTAGTAGTTATAATGGAATTCATTTTGCCAAAGAATGTATCTACCATTGCACAGCATCGGTCAAAATTGCAGTGTTTTCCGTCAAATTTCCCACGTAAAAGCACAAGTAGCTTAAAACAGGTCTAAAAGATCGTCGTATTTTATGGGTGGGGTTAACCTGTTTATATTTATTTACATTGGAACTGCACAGACAATGGTCAAAACGATTTGTTATCATTGTTATTGTTGTTGGCGATGATGACTCACCATCATGATGTCAAGTGATAAGTTGCGCTATTTCTGACTGGGGGCAATGGACGACTCGCAGCGCTTGATCTACGATAACCCAAATTTGTTTGCCATTGTTTGTCGTCACAAATGGCTTGTCAAATTCTCATTGAATGCCAATGTGCTGCCATTCTTGGTAAAAGATTCCATTGACATAGATTATCTACACTATTTATACGCTTACACAAGACACACGCAGTTGTCACGGGATCTCATCACGAGCATGATGAAGAACGCTAAGAAATTTACTGTAACTATTGCTTTTTGCTGCAGAAAGAAAAGTACGTTTTTGAGCAATGGTAAGCTGATTGCGAACGAGAAACACCTGGCTTTGATAGATAATTGGCTAGAAGTGTTAAGAGTTGTTACTGCCCAATCCGTTCTAATAAAGTCTTCACTTGTACTGGGACGCAAAACAGTCGAACACCCTACGCCCATACCTAGCTGCAGTTAGATCAACCCTAACAGCTGCACTCTGTCTGACAAATTTTGCTTCACAAGTCGTAGAACGACATAACAAACCCGAAATTGAGGCTCGGTAAGCGACATTATACGTACAACGAGAAGGCAATCTTTTTGTTTTTTGTTGCCTTAATCCTAGACAATGATTCCATTTTACTGCGAATTTCCCCAGATCCTCGGCTGAAGTAATTCTCAACCCACTGGTAATCTCTCGCAACGAGAATGAAAAGGTGTTAATAGAACCGTCCGTGAATTCTATCCGGTTTTCGATCAAGATCAAGCAAGCTGATGAGATAGAGAGGATTCTCTGTCATAAATTTACCAGATTCATGATGCTTCGCGCTGAGAACTTTGTTATTTTGCGAAGAAAGCCTATTCCGGTGGGTGAACCGAATACGACGTTTTTCAATGTAATTACAATAAACGTATCGTTGCTGTTTATTCTAACCGTTATAACACTGTTTACATAGGGTTACGATATTAGCTTCTTGATTACCAATTTCCATACCGAACAGATGTTCAAGCACAAATTAGTAGATTTTATTGTTCAGTTTATGGAAGAGGTGGATAAAGAGATATCCGAGATGAAATTGAGCATTAATTCGAGGGCAAGAATTGTTGCAGAGTCTTATCTTTTGCAGGTGAGTGAGTGAATGAGTGAAATTGAAAAGTAAAGTCACTGTTTCTAATCTGTGCATCTTATTTTCTTTCTAGTTTGCATAAACGTATCGATTTATTATATAGAGAACCAAAAAACAATAATACACATGATATTTAAGTCGAAGCAGGCGTATCCATCAAGTCTTTCCTTATTTTAAAATCAGGACCGTATGGTTCATC